TATCTGCCCTATGTCTCTTCACCTGGCATACTTCATTGGGTGCCTTTTCTTTCCCCCCTGCAGGAGGCCTTCCTGCCACTTGAGGAAGCATTTCCATCATCATGTGGTATATAACTTGTTTCTGATGTGTTTCTGTTCTGTTCTGTAATGGCAAAGACTTGTGTGACTTCTATATCAATGAATTCTCAGAATTATAGTAATTGAACCCTATACTCACTTGTTTAATGAATAAGTGAACTGAATTAATTAGCTTAAGTATCCTACATTCAAATGCCCACATACACCAAGAAATATGTTAACTCAGTCAAATAGTGCCTACTCTGTATAGCACTTCACCTACATGCTGAAAGGTGTTATATAAGTGTGCCCATGAGTGTTGGTGTGTGTACCTTATATTAACATTCCCCATATTTTAAGAAATCAGAAATAAACCAGGTGTTTGTGGAGCACACCTTTAATCCCAGCACTCGGGAGGCAGACACAGGCAGATCTCTGTGAGTATGAGACCAGCCTGGTCTACAAGAGCCAGGACAGGCTCCAAAGCTACATAGAGAAAATGTGACTCAAAAAGCCAAAAATGAAAGGAGGGAAGGAAGGAAGGAAGGAAGGAAGGAATCAGAAATAGCAATTACTATGTGAAATGCCCTAGACTTTTGAGTATTAGTAACCAACATAAAACTTAGCAAAAACAGCATTAAGAGCCAGATATACTTGTAAACTCCTTTGGCCCTGGGATCACTGGGTTGTGAGTTAAATGGAGCTGCCCATGTTGAGCCCACTGCATAGTACAGAGCAACTGCAAGGAAAAGCCCCTCCCATTCCCATTCCATCCCTAACTCACCATACAGGCAGCTTGCACAGCTTCAGAGAGTCCACCAGCATGAGGCTGGCACCAGAAGGCTGCACACTGGAAGGTCTGACAACCAAGGTCAGCGATGAGGCCAAAGGTATGTGGATCACGGCCAACACCAATAAAGGTTACAAGGCGCACAGGGCACTGCCACAGTGGCTCTTCCTCTGCACTAGCCTCTGCCTGCCCACAGAAAGCCTAATCACTACAGTGTTAAGCAATGGCTAGACCCAATACTTTTAGACCCAAGTAAAGACACACACCCCCCATCTCAACATGCCTGCTCATCCTCCAAAGCCCCAAACTTCACCCTCTTGCGGTACCTGAATGGGATGTGCAGTCATCAGAGAGTCAGACACACTGAGCATAGCAGGGACCCAGGTTTTCTGGTCCCCCCGGGCAGTGAGGGTACCAATGGCCTCATTCAGCACATCCATACCTGAGGAAACATGCCTACTATGCTGTCTGGCTTGAATAGAAAGGGTCTGCAGGGAGTTTCTAGAACCCTTTCATTAACTTGGGATTCAGAAAGATGGGAAGAGAATACTTGGGGCTGAGCTTGGAATTCTGAGTTGGAAGAATGGGTATATCCCAAGCTACATAAGGTCATGCAAGAACTCTAAGACTAGATACAGTGTAGATCGAACCTCACCCATCAGCCCCCTCAGTCCTCACCCATGGCTTTGTTGACTGGCAGGATTCCCATGTTCTGTGCCTCAGACTTCTGAGCAGCCTGTCTCACTGCATCCAGCAACTCCACTGAAATACACATATCAAGTACCAATCTAGCACAGACACTCAATTGCCCCTCTCCCCACCCTTCCTGTGACTACACCACTATGCACAGGTTTCACTATGTAATCAGCTCTGGTTGGCCTGAAACTTGCTATGAAGAATAGGCTAGCCTTAGACTTGTGATGATCTTCCTATCTCTGCCTTCCAAGTGCTAGGATTACAGCCATACCTCACCACACCTAGCTTCTCCACCCTAATGGATGTGCCGGGACTCGAGGTAGATCTGTTGCTAGCAAAGGAAAACCTGTAGATGTACCTTCAATTTACTGCTTTAGATCCCTGGATATAGACTCTCCAGGAAGAAGCTAAATAACTAGGAACTCCATACCCTTACCATATCCATCTTTCACTAAAGCAGCCTGATATTGCAATGCAGCAAGCCTTTCCCATACCTTGCCTCGGGAAGTCTTCAGGGGAAATAGGATCTGGGGAACAGCAAGCAGCTTCTCCACTGACTCCTGTCCTCTCAGACAAGATCTAAAATACAGTTCAGCCAACATGAGGCACACACAAAGAAAGGGAAGTCAGGGTAAGGGGCCAAGCCCACTCTATCCCAACTCCATATTCCCTGCCCACCAGTAGCCCTCACCTGTGCACAGAGCCCCTGTAGGGCACTTGCAATGGCCTTTGCAGGTACATCACAGCGAAACACATGGCACTTGAGCATACAGCTGTCTTTGTCACCCGCAACAAAGGCAAAGTCCCTGGCAGGGACAGGGACAGGCTGGTTAGGGGCAGGGGCTTCTAAGTGCCTGGCTAAAGATATGGCACAGTTGGAATGGGAAAGTCAGAGTACCTAGTTGTCACATACCTGTCACTGTTCCAGAAGCATGTGGGAACACAGGATAAAATCAGCCCAGCCTCTCAGATTCTCCCCTATCTGTCCCTGCTGAGCTGGGCCCACCCACCCCAACCAGGATTGAACCAGGCAGGGAAGGCCATGTTGGGTCCACATCAGAGGATCTGTGTCCAAAGGCCCTGCATCAGTGGGAATCACAGCCTGCAAGGGGGGGAGGGTGATGCAACTCTTGCTTGGGGGAACACAGAAGTCCTCACCGGCCCTTGGAGCTGCCCACACCCCAGACACGGATGTGAACCAGAGGTTGACAATGGATCAGACTGTGGTCCAGGGGATTCACCAGGCTCATAGCATCTTTCTTAAGGATCATCAACATGTTCTGGCCCTGCCAAGGACAGAGAGTTGACAGGTAAAGGTGACTAAGATGGCAAACAAGCAATTCAGGGAAAACCTACCTCTGCTGAGCCAGAGGCTGAACCCCTGGGGAAATCAGACAACTCACCTCACCCCAAGCACCATCATGGGGCTGGCTCTGGTTGCGAGTCTGGGCCAGCTGCTGGATACAGTTATTGACAGCAATACTGCTCTTCCCTGGTGCCAGGTCCTCCTCAGGTACTTCCACCCAGCCCAGAGAGCGGACTGCAAAGCACTGACAAGACAGGGAAAAAGAAGTAACTAGATATGGAATTGAGTGGTGGGTGACCCAGGATCCATACATATAAAGTCTGGTAGTCCTTTCTTGAAACTTAATCAATCCTACTCATTATTATTCTATCCATCATCTTTCCCTTGAGATCTCCCAATACCGTAAACTGACCACCATGTCCAATCATTACCTTAGCTCCTGGCTCCAGGCTCCGGACATAGGAATCATCTCCATACCATGTTAGAGAGTTACTGGAATAGAGTACAGTCAGTAAGAAAAAGATTATTATTCCTACATTAGGGGCAATGATGAAACCTAGCCTACTTAATCAAGCACAGAATTTGGGACAAGACCCAAAATATAGGACCATAAATGCAAACCCAGAAAAAAGATCCAGAATATACTAACAAATTGAAGTTTAAAATTTGACAAAATCCAAGACACAAGACACTGACAGACAAAAAGACACAAATATGGATATGAATTAAATTTTGTGGACAAAAGCCTCAAACTAAAACGAGAGACTCTAGAACACAGGAACACCCCCCCCAAAAAAAAATTAACAAAGCCAATGGATGGGGTCTACTAGAACATGATGGGTCAGAACATGGGGCACAGAACATGGACCTAATGATAAGAACTTAACAACAGACAAAACTCAAAATAGTCAAAAGGCAAGCGCATGGGACAAAGCCAAGCCCAAACTGAGCCCTGAATGAACAGAATCCAGAAGTACAATTTAAAAGCAAACTGTGGAGGCAGGCACAGTATCATCTGTGTGAGTTCCAGGCCAGTTAGGGCTACATACACAGTGAGACCTGAGACACTGTCTCAAAAAAAAAAAAAAAAAAAAAAAAAAAAATGTGGGTCCAGCTTCATTTTTGAGTGGCACCGTAACCCCAAGGCTTTCATTTGGCCCGGGTCACCCCTGTTACCTCCGGTTCAATGAACTGTCCAGGCTGGAGAAGGATCTCCCCTTGGGAGGTCGCAGTTCCCAAATCCCTTCCGTCCCCTATTGAGTAGAGATCAGTCAGTTGTGCAGCAGGCCCTGGTCCACACATGAGCTCAGGCTCCCTCCTCACATTCTACCTACCGTTCCAGGATCCTCTGCACCTCCTAGTTCCCAGGTTGGGCGCTGCCACTGAGTGCTACCGCTGGGTACATGCCAATAATAAGTGCCTGCAGCATCACGGATCTTTCTCCAGCCAGGAGGTAATCCTGTCTCCCCCTCCAGATTTTGGTCCCCCCACAAGTCATCTAGGAACAAGGGATTAAATCAGGGGGGCATATTACTCGTGAGTTCCCAACAATACCGTCATAACCCTCGCTCCATTCCACAGGAGACAGCCCTACACCTAGATTTCAACTTCCCATTCGTAAAGACAGCACATGCAAGGATCAAAGTTACCCCTGGCTCTCATTCCTGAGACACCACCCACCTCCACCCCGTGTTTGAGCTCAGGTAGCCTTCCTTCACCCCTCATATCCCCTCAGCTTTGGGTCCTCCC